CATCAGCTCATCAGCTCACCTTATTATTCAAATACAAAATCTCTGTATTCAGTTGTTTCATTTAGTTTTGCCGGGAATTCTCTTTAACAAATTATTTGTAGAAAACAAAAGGAGTTTTTTTAACAAAATAAGTGTAAAAAAAGATTGATTGAAACGCGTTTCGAAAGACGTATCCTTAGCGGAAGTTTGTGGATAATTAAAGTTAACGAAACTGTACTTGATGATACGAAATATTATATGGGATTTGCATGTAAATGAAAATAATGAATACACCTATCTAAAAAAAAATATTAAACGCATCCAGGAAGCGAAACATATTAATTAAGTTATTGAACATGTATCAATAAATTATTATATATTCAACCTGTCGAACACGTTTCGGGCCCTGGATCGATTCTTCCACAAAAGACTGTATCATGAAAAAGGTTTGACGTTTGCGTTAGTACGACTGAACCTATTCATGTGATCAAGGCTGTAGCATAATGGAGGCAAAGAGATGGACGTAGTAGATGGAAGATGTCTTCAAAGAAATAGACTTGCATTAGTTGAAAGTTAAATTCTAAACTAACGAGTATTGAACTTAAGGTACCGTACTTTATAAAGATCACTTCCAATATATTTGAGAAACCGAATAGACTCTATTTTTGTTTTACCTCTTCTATCCAAAAGGATTGATCCATCTCCTCTATTTATCGAAAATTATAATCATACTACTTTCGACACATTAGAACATAATTGCTTTAAATTTTAATTTGGCCTTTATTGCACAATAGTATCTGTGTTCGTTCTACAAATGGTCAACGATAAATTACGAGGGTTGATCAAGACAGGTGTTATCGTATTTAAACATGTTGTAATATCAGTCAATGACAGTGATGATAATAATGTACCGGTAGGTGATAAGACACCAGAAGTTTTCACGACTTGAAAATTAGTACTATCTATAACTGTAATGTACTAACATTTCTCTAACTCATACCAGATATTCCTGCAACCTAATCAAAATACCGGTTATTCCTTATTAAAATACTGCATACGTAGTTCTTATTGTTCGATCGAACTGTCCAATCTCACCACAGTCTACCAATTACAAACAAAATGTTATGAGTTCAGGGGAGGTAACAATTCTCAATAAACGGCACAGAAGATAACAAAAACTATTGTTAAGTTCACATTAAGGGAGGTAATCCTAACCCAAAAATGTGTTTTACTCCAACACTGTGACCCATTTCAAATATACCAGTTCAATAATTATAAATATCAAGAACAGAAGGCCTAAATAAAATTCAATCAGCCAAACTTTTGACCTTAAATCAAATCTTAGGTCTTAGAAACTTCGATATACAATTCAAATCGTGTTTTCATCGGTGGTACTAGTAAATAAAATATACGATAATTATTTTGAAGACTAACATATTCTATTACATAACAATGGTTAAACAGCTTAAAAATATAAATACCCATACTAAGAAATGTGTAGCGGAAATATCTTAGCTATTCGTATTAATCCATGAACACGTCATTATCTTATGTGGACGATAAAACAATAATATTTTGTTTCATAACTTAAAATCTAAAAGGGATCAACGGATTTTATTTTGTGATAATATCAATTTGAACTTTTCAAGGACATTTATTGACCTTACTCTATGTTTTGGTAAACACTTTTTAGAAAAATGTAGAGGAAGAAACGATGACAATTCTAATAGAATAATCCCTGAAAACGTATTTTCATTGTGGGTCTGAATGTCACATGTATAGGATAATAAGTTCTCTGACTAGATATACCTCCTATACTTTCCGTAAAATTATCTTAATCGTAGCCTATATTTGGTATTGGAGTAAAATTTAAACGAAGTTCATTAAAATCCGTACAAGCAAGGCAATTCGTCCAGAATCTCGGCCAAAGATGGCAAAATCGGAAGTAAAATTGTATAGTAGTTGACTTCTCCAAAGAGTGCCATCAGGTGTTTCGAAAAGGTCTGCTTCGTGCGCGACACCCCCAGTGAACCTCACTGATTTTAAATCTCTGGTTATTGTATTCTATACTTCGCTGATTTTAAATCTCTGTGTTCATCTTCAGTACTTCACGGACTCTTAATCTCTATTGATTCTAATGGTGTACTTTATTCATTCTTTATCTCTGGTGCAAATCTTTAGGATTTCACTGATTCTAAATCTCTAGTGTTCATCTTCAGCACTTCACTGATTCTAAATCTCCGATCTTCAGTAATTCAATAATTCTTAATCTTTGATGCCTTTCTTTAGTACTTCAAAAATTCTTTATCTGCTCTTTTTCAGTAATACACTGATTCTAATGGTGTTCATCTCCAATAACTGATTCTAAAGCTTTGGTGCTTATCTTGAAACTCCACGGATTCTTTAATTTTGAGGCTCACCTGTAGTACTGATACTTCAATAATCCGATGCTTAATATTACAGTATTTCACTGATTCTAAATCTCTGATCATCTTCACCGATTTTAGATGTTGTATGCCGTCAATTCTTCACTGATTCTATTTCTCTTGTGTTCATCATCAGTACGTCACTCATTCTAAACCTCTGATCATCTTCACCGATTTTAGATGTTGTATGCCGTCAATTCTTCACTGATTCTATTTCTCTTGTGTTCATTTTCAGTACGTCACTCATTCTAAATCTCTGGTGCTAATTTTCAGTATACGTCACTGATTATAAATCATCTTCAGTTGTAGTTCTCTGATTTTGAATCTCTGTTGCTCACCTACATTAGGCTACGTTACTGATTCTAAATCTCTGATGCCCATCACCTGAACATTTTGCCATATTCTTGTCTTTTTGATTAATTGAATTGTCTTGCTTTTACGGATTTTTAATGATAGGCCTATCCCATCTTTAGTACTGACTTACGGTCGTAGTTTTGCAAAATTGTTTGCAGTTGACGATGAATTTGATATACCTGCAGATTGGGGTTTTGAGGTTGATAATTTACAAGACAATCAGCTTGACTGCAAAAGAATGTGATCCAAGTGAAACTCTTGTTTTATCGACGCATATTCCATAGGAATTGCCAGCTGTATTGTATGCGTTGCAAATGTGACTTTTTCACATATTAAACTCTGGGTTGATTTCAAAATGTTATTAAAGGAAACGTTGAAGTGCTCAAACTAGTATTTGCTTGCAAATTGGCTCTTCCAAGATCACCGTGTTCAAACCACACCCCCATTTGTCATACTTCCTCGGGAAAGACATAATGTCATAACTCGTATTCGTGAAACGATGATCCAAGGTAATCGTACACAGAAGAATACGCCATCTGCTCACAAAAACAAGGCAAGCAAGACAAATCCATCGACCTGTATCTCATTATAATTTGTAATATCCTATGATTAATTTTGTCCAATTGTCAATGGTGGACTTATTCGCTTGACCAAACAATGACCGTTGTTTACATTTATAGGAAAACATTAATTTGTAGTTTAAATGACAAAAAACAATCCACGTTGATCAACAAAATAATAAGTAACTATTAAGTACACAAATTGGAATAAAGATTCCGGAAATCACCAGGATACACAGAATTAACTGAAATTATCATTTTACCACAGATTTATCAAATATATGATTAACAAGTAAATGAATAATCCAACCACTTTACTCACCCACGCTTACATAGGTGTTGGCGATACTTCCAACAAAATAGTCCGCAAAGTTATTAAAGAAAAATTTCCGTTTAGCATAAAAGTATTATCTTTCCTTTGAAACCGGACAATCTGTAAAGTATCGAAAATGAACAGCAGAGATTTAAAATCATAGAGGTTGCGCACCAGAAATTTAGCAACAGTATAGTGTGAAAGATAGGCATCAGAGATTTCGAGTCAATACCAGAGATTTCGAGTCAGTGAAACCCAAAAATAAACATCAGGCATTTATTATCAGTCAAGTACTAAAGATGAACATCAGAGTTAAAGAAACATTAAACAGATTAATATTTCTGGTTTCTGAATCCATAGTTTATATGTATGTAAATTCCTAATTTATGAATACATAATTTAAAAACGAACTGAAAATGAGTACTATAGAGATTTAAAATCAGAGAAGTATTGAAGATGAGCACACGAGATTTAGAATCAGTGAATTACTGAATATTTTTGATATCTTAATTTTTAAGATTTAAAATCAGCGAAGTAGAGAAGATTAGAATCAGATATGTAAAGTTTGTGAAGTACTCAAGATTAGCATCAGAGATTTAAAAGCAGAGAAGTACAGACGATTAGCATCAGAGATTTAAAAGCAGAGAAGTACAGACGATTAGCATCAGAGATTTAAAAGCAGAGAAGTACAGACGATTAGCATCAGAGATTTAAAAGTAGAGAAGTACAGACGATTAGCATCAGAGGTTTAAAATCAGAGATGAAAATTAGCATCAGAGATTTAAAATCAGAGAAGTACAGAAAATTAGCATCAGAGATTTAAAATTAGAGAAGTACAGAAAATTAGCATTAGAGAATTAAAATCAGAGAAGTACAGAAAATTAGCATCAGAGATTTAAATTCAAAGAAGAACAGAAAATTAGCATCAGAGATTTAAAATCAGAGAAGTACAGAAAATTAGTACAGAGATTTAAAATCAGTGAAGTACTGAAGCACTAGAGCATCATTGGAACACTGAAAGTTATAGCATCAGAGTTTTAGAATCAGTGAAGTACTGAAGCTGATTATCAGAGATTAAGACTCTTTGGGGGACTAGATATTTAGAATGGAGAATTACGGGGATAATTTAGAGATGAGATTTGAGCTCACAAGTTATTGCCCCACCAAACGTAACATCTAATAATATGTTATAAAAACGTTATTAGATATACATTTTTATTTTCAATGTTGATTTGTTTGGACATTTATTACTTGGTTGAATCAATATTTTATTGGTAATAAAAGGTAATAATCAAAACAAGATTATAAAAATGTATATAAAGACCATTTCCTCCTCCAAAAATATTTGTGGGCAATTTGGAAGTGAAAATGGCACTCGGAGTAAAGGTAAGTTCAAAATTCATTCCTAAAAAATAAACTCTAAAAACTCAATAAGTATATATTTTTTAAAATTTTACTCAATAAAATGTCGTTTAGAATTATGAAACGAATTATTTGATTGTAAATATATTAATGGTTATTCATCTCTACCTAAATTAATGTGAAAGCAATGTTTAATACGTTAGACTTTATTGTATCGTCTTCATAAGCCAGATCTTGAGAAGGATAAGTGAAGCTGGCTACTAGGGACAGTAGTTCTCTCGTTTTTTTATTCGATTTATAATTGTTTAAGAAGTGCAAGGGAGGGTGAAGGATCAATCAGTAGAAAACACAGCTTCATTTCGTTGTTTTAACGTAACAGCCTGATTCGAGGTCCTTCGACCTAATAATCCGAAGAAAAGAACCTTGGATTTATAAACCACGCTTACGTGCATTTAACTCAAAAAATGACCCCACTGTCGACAACTTAACCGAAATTGTATTACAATGCGTCGCGATGAAATTCCATAGTATGTTTTATTCAATTAAAAGATAAACATTAAAAATGTGATGTAGTAAATATGAATGAATAAGTAACTTGCCGTGAGTTCTAAAGCCCATATTTTAGAAAAAATATTGTTTGATTGCAGATATTCCTGATTGCATCAGCAGCAATATTAGGTTGTACTGAGGGAAGAAAGCAGGCTATAACCGAGGAGAATGAAAATATCCTGATTGGTAAGAATAATATTCTATAAAAATAATTTTCTAATAATATTATACATTATATAATCATCATTTTTGATGATATTATTATATACAATATATATATATATAGATGTATCTAGATATCCAGGTATATTATCCATGTCAAATGAACGCAAATACTGAGAAGGTTTTAACTCGGGTATCCTGACATAACAATATTTATACTACAACTATTTACATGGTGGATTTTCATGCCAAAATATTTAACTCAATTCATATTACAGCAATTTTCATTTGTAATGATGACGATTCATTTATTATGGAGGCGTAGATTTAATTTAGATCTAATAATGATAAGGATAACAAAAATTTACATGTAGTTAAATAATATTACAAATGAACTAATTCACGTACAAAAAATACAAAAGAACTTGTTTTATTTTAGATAAGAATTAAGATAGCAAATGAACTAACTTACGTAGATAAGATGCCAAATGAACTTGATTTATTTTAGATAATAAATGAAATGATGTACTTCAGACAAAATGAAAAAAAAAGAACTTATTTTACAACGTACTTTAGATAAGATAACAATATAACTTGATTTTAATAAGATAAGATGACCAAATAGCTTGATTTTTCTTAAGATAAGATAACAAATTAACATGATTTTTCTTAAGAAAAGATAACACATTAACTTGATGTTTCTTGAGATAAGATAACAAATTAACTTGATTTTTCTTAAGAAAAGACAACACATTAACTTGATGTTTCTTGAGATAAGATAACACATTAACTTGATTTTTCTTAAGAAAAGATAACACATTAACTTGATGTTTCTTGAGATAAGATATCCAATTAACTAAAAATACTTTAGATGAGATAACAAATGAATTAATTTACTATGTATCTATCAAAATCATTTAATATTAAAATGAGAATAATAATGTGATTTACTTTAGATACGGTTTTAATCGAACACGACGGACCTGTATCCAGATCAAAACGATCAATAGAAATGCCACAAACCATGTTCTTGAAGATGAAATCGGAAAACACTGATAAGAAATTACGGTTAAAAAGGGCACCTAAAGTAAACATACCCACTTATAGTTTTGATAATGGATCTGTGGTGAAAGTTGATATTCCAAAATACGAGGTAACTAATGAAGAGAACTGTTTCTATCTTATTTTATTTTATTTTTACAATAGGCAATACCACTTCTTCAGGGCAAAATGTCGTACATTTGTCGTCATTTTAAATGTGTGCGTTTTTGGGGACTTCAAATCAATCCAAGTCGGGAATCAAATCTGATAATTAAGGATCAGGATAATGAATAATTGAAATTCAGGTGACATTGAATTCATCGTATCCCGAATATGGGTTTTGACATGGTCAATGGTGTGGTTTGGACACAATATATCGGATGTATCTTTTGATACTAATTGTAATGGGTATCATTTTTCATTAACATGTTTTTGGAATTATTTTTTTTTTGAGAAAGTAATTTATTCCTTGCAATAATAAGTTTTGTCGCTAGCCATAGAAAACTAATATACCATCAATCACGCATTATAAATTGTCTCACTGATATTTTCATTCTACCTCTTTTTTGTAGAAAAATGCTATTTATATAGATCATGATACGGGAAGACCTATTATGGTCTCAGAAAAGGGTGGTTATTATGATGTGGTAAGATAATTTACACTTAATGATCTAAACTTCTAGCCTATGATTACCGACCTTATGGACTTGGCATCTCTCGTCCAATATTAGTAAAGTGAAATAGGCAATAACTCGAACGAAAGGTTGCAAATTTTTCATACACTTGATATCTGAATCCATTGCTAATATATATAAGCCCTGATATCTGAAATTGCCAAATACAACCCGTCAAGTATTCTTTATGAGTACCTGTGGAACCCCAGAACCGAAGTGTGATCAAATAAGATTAAAAATCTGTTTCAGCTTGGAGACGTGATAGTAAATAATCAGATTGCTCAGTTGAAGCCCCTTGGCAGAGGAAGACACAACTTATATTCATCTGGACCTAGAAAGTTTGGAAAAGACATGAAGAGTTCAAATGGAGGAGCGAATCTTATTCCAGAAAAGCCACTTCGTAAAATTGTTCGTGCACTGAGGAGGAAGGCTAGTAGAAATCGAAATAAAAGACAAGCAACACGATATATTGTGGAGATGTTATTTGTAGTAGATCAACCAATTCTAAACAGGTTTGTTACTTTCCAATGTTTTTATCACGAGTGAATCTGTTTCTATTATTGTCCGAACTACAGATCAAAGTACTGAACCGACATTGATCATATTAGACACATATAATGCGATAAATATTATTGACGTTTAACCATCTGATAGTTAAGGATCAGCAAGTTAAGAACTATATTATTAAATGTTACTTCTTGTATCCTTTATGTCATATTAATGTTTATGTTCATGTTCAATGTTCATAATATCAAATGACGTGAGACAAGAGTAAACTTTCTATCTCTTCCTAAATGAAGTACCTGTCCGAGACTACCTTGAAGATAATCTTTTCATTTGCTTTCTACATGAAGTGCCTGTTCGAGGCTGCCTTGAAGATAATCTTTCTGTTTCTTTCTACATGAAGTGCCTGTTCGAGACTACCATGAAGACCATCTTTCTATTTCTTTCTTAATGAAGTGCCTGTTTGTGACTACCTTGAAGATCATCTTTCTATTTCTTTCTAAATGAAGTGCCTGTTCGAGACTACTTTGAATATCATCTTTCTATTTCTTTCTACATTAAGCACCTGTTCGAGATTATCTTGAAGATCATCTTTCTATTTCTTTCTACATGAAGCACCTGTTCGAGACTACCTAAGACCATCTTTCTATTTCTTTCTACATGAAGAACCTGTTCGAGAATACCTTGAAGACAATCTTTCTATTTCTTTCTACATTAAGCACCTGTTCGAGACTATCTTGAAGATCATCTTTCTATTTCTTTCTACATGAAGAACCTGTTCGAGACTACCTTCAAGATCATCTTTCTATTTCTTTCTACATGAAGCACCTGTTCGAGACTACCTTGAAGATAATCTTTCTGTTTCTTTCTACATGAAGTGCCTGTTCGAGACTACCTGAAGACCATCTTTCTATTTATTTCTTAATGAAGTGCCTGTTCGAGAATACCTTGAAGATAATCTTTCTATTTCTTTCTACATTAAGCACCTGTTCGAGACTATCTTGAAGATCATCTTTCTATTTCTTTCTACCTGAAGCACCTGTTCGAGACTATCTTGAAGATCATCTTTCTATTTCTTTCTACATGAAGCACCTGTTCAAGACTACCTTGAAGATCATCTTTCTATTTCTTTCTACATGAAGCACCTGTTCGAGACTATCTTGAAGATAATCTTTCTATTTCTTTCTACATTAAGCACCTGTTCGAGACTATCTTTAAGATCATCTTTCTATTTCTTTCTACATGAAGCACCTGTTCGAGACTATCTTGAAGATCATCTTTCTATTTCTTTCTAAATGAAGTGCCTTTTCGAGACTGCCAATAAGACCATCTTTCTATGTCTAAATGAAATGCCTGTTAGAGATCACCATATAGATGCTCTTTCTATTTCTACATGATGTTCCTATTCGAGACTACCATGACTTAAGTGTCTATTCCAGATTACCATGAAGATCCTCTTTCTATTTCTAAATTAATTGCCTGTACATTTGTGAGAATCAGATTTACCTGTTGTTTTTGAAGGTCATAAAATTAAATAAGCAAATATCAGATTGACAATTCAGATGACTATTTTCTTTTATCTTTAGGTTTGCATCAAGAAACGGAGGTGATCGAACTTTAGGCGATGCTGAAATGATAGCTTACTATGAATTGGTTCTACGTTCGGTAAGTATTGTACAACAGGTAAATAATTGCATAGGGCCAGAGTTCAAAATTTTGACTTGATCTAATAGAATGCCGGACAAGAAACAGAAGTATATCAAATCTTTGCTCAGGCATATTGTTTTGCTTTGCAAACTTGACAAAAGATTTTGTGAAATTGTCTTGAAAACTCATTGATTCGTTATTTTAAACAAACATCTATTCATAAAAAAAAGTTAAAAATAAAAATTATAATGGAAAAACCACTGCAGTTATCTAGGAAATTTGAAATCACCGTAGCTACTATGATAGTTCATAGATAATTGTGTAAATGTATTATCCTTTTCAATTTTCTTTTAAAAAAAAATGTATAATGTAAGATAATTCAGAGATGTTTAATTCTACATTTCAGATGTCGGCACGATATGACTCTATTTCCTCATTTTATCCTAGTGTGTCTTTTGCTCTTGAAGGTAGTGGTATCATCTTCCCTGCAGTAAGTCTGCACTATTTTTCGTTATGGACAAGCATTCTTTATTTTTTTCATATATGGCTATATACTTCTAGGGAATGTATTCCGGATGACTATGTGAGAACCACATTGAAACGTTGAATATAACATATATTCTGAAAATATTTATCCATAAAATTGTCTAATTTAGATCTAACTTGAAATATGCTTTTGAACGATTGATTATTTCAATATTAGTTTGCTTGATATTGAACTAGAAAATGAACGCTTGCTTGCGTTTATAAGTTGATTAGTTAACATTTTTTCCATTCTTAAAATAGAAAGTGAAATGAAACAAAAATGTAACATTGGAAACAAATCATTGATGCATGATTTCCCACTAATTAATAAACAAACCGAATACATAACGAAACTACAAAGGTTTGAATAATGATTTGTATAATATTAATATACAATTTTACAACCTTTCATATACTTCTGTCTCGTCTACATGCATTATTATTACACTCTGTTTTTGATGTGAGAAAAGGGAAAATAAAGATAATTAATAAATATTTAATTATTTTGTTCAGACACCTACTAGTTTTCCATTCTATAATAATAATGAAGCCAATGGTTTGGTACAAGCCGATGAAGGGTTAGATGATTTTACAGATTGGGTAAATGATAACAGAAGAATTTTACCAGGACATGACCATGCTTTGTGGTTTAGTGGGTCGGTGGTTTGCTATTATCTTTCAAACAGTATTCGTTCAATTGTGATAAATATAGATTTCAGGTCGATTTCGTTGCGATTAACTTTCAATCTTGTGAACGTGAAACAGTTTTCAGTTTTCGTTCTATTTGATAATACATGAAACGCATAATTAATGAGATCCAACATGAGTTCTACATTAGTTATTAAATTAATGGTTTTTGAGTTGGCTATTAAATAATCTCACTAGTAAGAATAGGTTTGTCAAAGCGATGAAGTTTTCAGATTTATCTTATTATGTATATGTAAATATAAAATTTGGCGTGATGCACGTTGATAAAATGATGAATGAAATAACTTTCGATGAGCGTAGAGTAATTGACTATGATTTATCCTATTTTATGCTTTTTGTTAATTGATTTCATCATTATCTTATTTTAGTGATGAATTGGCAACTGGAATTTCCACTTCTGTACTTGGTAAGATTGGTTTTGAAATTCAACCACTTTTTGTAGATTTATACCTACATGTCGTTATATGGCACGCTTTGAGATTTCTTCATCGTACATTTTTGCTCTTGTGATAGATCGACAGAAGGAATTTGCTAGACATGTCAAATATACAGACCGTAACATTCCTGGAGCCAAAGGCGCCAGCCGCCCCCTCAGAGCCCCGAAAGCACGTTTTTTTTGGGCAAAAATCTCTTAAGTAGGTTAGAAATTGGGGCAATCTTAGATATTTCGCCCCCCTCGAACGTAAACCTGGCTCCGCCTACTGGGGTGAACCCCATTTCACTTATGATCAATATCAGATAATTCCCGAGTATTTAATTCTATCACTTATTTTTTCTTCTGTTCTTACTTTTTTCAGGCATAGCATGGATTGGTGGTGCCTGTAATAATCTAGGAACAGGCATGGTGGAAGATGCATTTTCTGGTGTAACCAGTTCAATAGCGGCTCACGAATTAGGCCACGGGTAATTTTAATATATATATTTTATTTTTCGTGAATGCTGCGAATGAAATAATATCCATAGGAATAGGATGTAAGATAGTGGTTAACATGAAAGAAAACGGAAAGTATTCATAAATATCATGTTATGTACATAATTATATCAAATATTTCAATACTATTGGCACTTCATTGTCCCGTCAAAAATTGTCTGTCAATTACTCGCTCAGTTGTCTTGTCTGAGAAAATAAGCATAGGAACAAAGAAGAAACTTCGAATAGAATGGGACTGTTTTTTTTTTAAATCTCGTCAAGTTGCACTAAACACACCTTTTCAGTCATACGTGAAAACATTGTTACAAAATCGGATTAATCAAATAAGTGTACATTTTAGGTCTAAAAAAGACACAAAATCGGTGTTGTATTCCTACACTCAAAATAATACCTGTCGTTTCACAATCTGCTGGTAGTTGTGCACGCAATATTTCAAGATACTGTTACACATATTTTTCTCTGACCTGTCGATGAACATTAAACCCGGATGTCTTTATGAATAAAAATGTTTTGAAGCCCTTTCTGTGTATATTTCAGTTTAACAGCCTATCATGATGGTTCTTTTCGAGAATGTTCAGACGATGATTATAATGTCATGGCAGCAAGATCCTTTATACCTCTTGGGGCCAAAAAAACAAATCCATGGTTTTTCTCATTTTGTTCTGCTAATTACATAACGTATTACACTGAACGGCGGTAAGTCTGCAATTATCACAAATTAGTCGATTAAAACCTTTATCAAATTATTTATCTCTTCAGCCGGTCAGGTAACTGCAATAGATGAAAATCTAAATTGAGTCAAAATTACGCTATAGTGATATAAGTTACAAATATAGAGATCAAACTGATTCGATGTTGAAAACCACATAATTCTTTTTTTTTTATGATTTTATTTTGCACCAAATCCTAACGAATGGAAGGCTCTTGATTTGTATTTTGTAATAACTTTCTCTGCTTATTTCAGACATGGCTGTTTATTAGTTAATAACAATAATATAACCGAACCTTTGACATCAAATTTAGCAGGACAAGATATTGATGCAGATGAACAATGTCGTTTAGCCCTCTCTACACCACAAAGCTACTTCTGCAGAGTATGTATGATACTACCAGATTTCTCAATCCATGGTTGTCAAATAGAGTGGTTTGTTTCAACATTTAATTTTCAACCATGAACAAGTTCCCCAAATTAGCAAAATAAGCTTCCCTTCCTTCTTACACGAATATAAGCGGCTTAAGGTGCGGACACACGAACGGTCTTGGTCGACGATTTTTGTCCCCTGTGTTTGTGCGACAAGATTATCGCGTTTCCGACCGGATTTATGATCAAACAATAGTTTATCGTCTGCAAGACAGAGAGTCATCATCCAATCAGATTCATTTTCCATTCTACAGCAGCTCCGAAGTTGATTATCGACATGGTGGAAAACGACCGACTGGAGATTTTGTCTCCTCGTGTACCCATACCAGTTTATATGAAATATTTGATCTGTTTTGTAATTTTTTTCGAGGTCAAATTATTCTTTAATCTGCAAGACCATCGAAATTATAATTTAGAGTTCCGTGTATATATAGAATCTATTAAGACCACATTCCTATGATCTGCCAATGTTTTTCTATGTTTTAGAATAGACAAAAAAGTCTTGGATTTGCTGAGATGTGTAACAGAATGTATTGTTTTTTCCCAAATCAAAATCAATGTGGATATATCGGATCGTTTGATTATACTACATGTGGCGATGGACAGGTATGATCTCTTGAAAATCTGCTTTTTCAGTGGCGTTTATATGATTCATTGGAGGGTCTTAGTAGGGTCACAAAATTGTCAAGGTACAAACAACACCAAGCATCTAAGAACTCAATGAGAAGAAATCTAGAACTTTGGGGAGGGACGGCATAGCCTTTTTAACAATTTTTATTAAATGTTAGAACATAAGATTTTTTTCAACAAAAATGTGCATGAGGAAAGGCATAGAAAAATAAAATTGACCGAAAAATAATGTGAGCGTATTTACTTTACAACGGACTACTCTTTTATAAAGAGAAATAGTCTCAATATTTGCTTTATCAGCTGATAGAACCGAATTTCATCTCTTCAAATCAAAACCAGACATTGGACTCTTCTACATTTGAACAGAAATGTACCAATTTACACTGTCGTTACTTTCACATTTATGAACATCTTTTATGTGGAGTTACATAGTAGCCTACGTATTTAGAAATAATGCCGCCAATAGTAAAACTCCCCTACTTGCAGAACAAGAAGTCGGATTTTGATTCTGAAAAGTAATACGAATAACTGAAAGTTACGATTTTACTAATAGCGTATTAATGAATTAGAGCTATGCGAACAGCCATGGTTTTTGCGATCAGTAAGGTATGAAAAAGAAATTATTTGTCGTCCATTTGGAATTTTCCCACAGAGAGTTTGTATTTTGGATGAAGATAAGTTCTCACAAATACTGATTATTGATCAATAAAATCGTATTTATTATTTTAATATTTTAGTGGTGTGAAAAGGGTGATTGTGTGAGTTCAGGCTCAGCTCAATCCACTGCAAGTAAGTACATTATCTTTCGTGGGTTTCTTGATTTTCCGTACTTTTCTTAAAAACATCAGAAATACTACTCCATCCTCTCTTCCAGCACTGACTTTAAGAAAACCACTATTCTTCGCATGATGTTAATCATGATTAACTTGGACTAATTGATTTTGTGAAATTTGAATAAGAATGTTGAATTTATTCAAATTATTTATGAACTCAGGACCAAAATGGATAGTCGATTTTGAAAAATCTGTAATTTTGGCACGATTGCTCGAACATAATTCTATGTTTCATAGTATCTATCTACATGTCACATTCTGAGCTCGTAAAACATCTAAACTTGAAATTATCCAAACTTTAATTAAATTCATTAATTTATAACAAATTAATGTCGATAAAACAATTCACCAGTAACAATAAAAAAGAAGACTTTCAAAATAAAATGTTGTTTATTTCAGGTGATTGCCCTCAAGGTGACAGCCCGGTTGCATCATGTTCTTTTGCTTCATGTGGATCTTACAGTGCATCACAGCTAACTGATTGTTGTGCAACCTGTTCATCGGAACCAACAACTATAGAAAATGTATCACCAACTACTGAAACACCTACTGAACCACCAACAGAGCCACCGACTGAACCGCCCACAGAGCCACCTACGGCACCACCGACTGAACCGCCCACAGAGCCACCTACGGAATCACCGACTGGACCGCCCACAGAGCCACCTACGGAACCACCGACTGAACCTCCCACAGAGCCACCTACTCAACCACCCACAGAGCCACCTACTCAACCACCCACAGAACCGCCCACAGAGCCACCTACTCAACCACCGACTGAACCGCCCACAGAGCCACCTACTCAACCGCCTACTGAATCACCCACTGAATCACCCACAGAGCCACCAACCGAACAAATTACTTCACCAACTACCCCAACAACAGATCCACCTACTCGACCTCCTTGTGGTGGGCTGTGTAGATGGTGTCGTCGAAGTATAATCAGACTAAACTTCTTTCCATTTTGTTTTCAATTTAACAATTAACATTGGCATTCCATTTTTTGATATAAAAAAAACACAATTGCAACATTGAATTATTAATTATAATATACATTTAGTTGTATAATTTCTTTTCCATGAGTTCTATAATATTCTGAATAAAACTATTACCATTCTGTCCATTTGCTGTCCCATGATATGTAGTCACACTGGGCATATCTATAACCTGGGTTCATTCAGCCAAGTCAAAAAGTAATTGTAGGACTATAGACCTTTAAATTCAAATTAAACTTTCAAATGGTACTCATAGAATAAAATTACAAACATGGGAGCATTATCACATTCTAGAATTAGTCAGTAAAAATTTTGGATTATTTTTTAAGCTTATGTAAAGTCTGAAGAGAAGTATTTTTATGTCAAATAAAAAGTAACAAAGTTTTATATTCCATGCCCTTTATCATATTTTTTAAGGCTACAAGAATAGACTTATCCATTAATGCAACCTCTTTTTTTATTCCTGAAAATTTAGGATGAGAGTCTTAATCAGTGGCTCAACTAACATGGGGACTGGTTGGACAAGTCTAAGGGCTCTGCAATAAAATACAAAATTAAGAAAAGATAGTTTGCCAGGCAAGGTAAAATACACCCACTGGCAGCTTTTTTCTAAATAAAAATATTTGGCAGTACAGTAACAATTACCAGTATGAAATATTTTACCTTCAGTCATACACTTCTTTTGAACTTTTTTGAGGCGATACTGAGTAATATTAAGAAGTTTCATCAAAGTCTGTTGAGAATTGGACCTTCTAGAGTGTTTACAGATTAGAACTGGAAGTGTTGTTAAAAACAATTTTCGATAATCCTTAAGTGATTACAAACAAGTTTCCTCAAAATCCATCAAGAATTGTGCCTTCTAGAGTGATTAGGTGCTAAAAATTGAACACATTTTCAAGAAAAAGGGAAATAACTAATACTAATTATTTTTCGATTTTTCTGATTTTCAATAGGGTTTAACCTTGGGTGATAAAGATTCACACCAAGTTTCATCAATCAGAATTGCGCCTTCTAGAGAGCATACGAGCGTTTCAAGAACAAGGGCAATTACTCATCGAAAGATTTTTCGATTTTCTGATTTTCAATAGGGTTCACCTTTGGGTGATTATAAGCAACCATACATAGTTTCATCGAAATCAGTCAAGAATTGTGCCTTCTACAGTTTTTACAAGCAATTACAAACGGACATGTGGGCATACCATATTACAATTATAATCAAACTTAACAACCAGCTATATATAACTGAGTGAAACAGCATTACCTACAGACTGAAAATCTTTAAGTCTTCGATTAACAGGCATTAAATTGACTCTCAAAATACAGGAGAGCATATGTTTAATTAAAGTTTTACCGGTGGAGGGGCCCCAAACCACTCATCTAGTTGCTCTTAGTCTTAGACTAAGGTTACAATATGTTTAATATCAAGATCAAGAGAAGCTGACAAAGTTCTTTATCTATTTCAGTATACAGTAGTTCAATATTTACAAATTACTTCATTTCAGCACAATTATAACTGTATTATAACATCTGCTGCATACAGACTTGATGTTTGAATACTGCTGACAGGATTTGATATATCTTCATCACATATGGTCACAAGGTAGCAGTCATTACAAAGTTTATATTCACATACACTTCCTCACTTGAAATTAGCTGTTCATTGGCTGCTACCAATGTTTCACCAATATGTTGTTTGGATTTCAGGTTTTGTTGTGTGGTTTGCATCATTAGTACTTGGTTTATCTATACAAATAGCTTTACTCTAAACTGCTTCTATTCTGATACATCACAACAGAAGTTGGATTAACAGAATCTGTACTATGATTGCACTAGTATTTCCATCTCATATAAAGTCATTAAATCTGAGATAATGTTTTGTACGGTAGGAAGAGTTAAATCATCACTTAACACCTGTAATATACAAACAATATGGTCAGTTATAGATATAGCAAGAGAGAAATTGCATAAGTGACTGAAATAGTAGTCAAACGACCATGGTTCACCATTTTTGGAGGTTGATTTGGGTCTTGAATACAAGTAAATAGTATTCTGAATGAAATGCCAGAACTGTACAGTAATCGCATATATTCTTCAATACCTGTAAACACTATTTTTGATAATAGCTTAGCTAAACAATTCCTGTTTCTGTGAACATGGTACAATTGACCTGCGAAAATGGTAAACCATGGCATTTCATATATCATGGCAGATTGTCTTTCGGTTAACACATGCTGCATGTCAGATTGACCCCCATAACCATGGGCTGCATCTCCAAATTGTCAAAAAGAAGATTCACGACTTTGACCCCTCAACTTTCCAAGCCAAGAAAAGTGCCACTCATTCTACAAAATAAAAGTATAAGTCAAATGCAAAAAATATACTTTCCTGCCACCATTTCATGTCTGCCTCATTATGATAAGGAACCTCCATACCGTGTGACAGTAACGCAAAATATATGACACCTATTGCTATGTGCTCTGCTTTATAATTCAGGCACATATCACCATGGTAACAGTCACGTAAAAAAGCCCAACTTGTTTTGGAGATAGGAATCGTGTCCCAGTCATGGGGATCAAACCAGTCTTTAAGAAATTTCAAATAGTGGAGCACAAACTGAAAGAGAAAAGAGCACAATGGAACAAAATATGTATTATATAAAGTTACTTTTTCCTTGACTTATGATGAATATTTGAAGATTTTGGTTCACATTATTTCTTTAGATGCTACAAGTATAGATTACTGTATTTCCATACACATTACACATGGATTTTTACCTTTATTAAGAAACCTTAAACTTCTACCATTCTTTCCTTCTTAAAGAATAGTCTACAAACCTTGTGAGGTTGAGAGAATACAACTTTAAATCTTAAAGATCTCAATATCAGCAACTCAGAGCTTGCCACTGATTCTCGTAAAGACCAAAATGTTTCTCCAATGTCTAGTGGAGGCTTGTTTTTATGTAAAGTTCTGAAAATAATAAAAACTAAATTATAATTGAATACAAATGACAAAAGGTAATTTCTTCTTAATACTAACATTATATAATTTTAAAAACAATGCACGCAAAACCTGCACTAACCAGTATGATACATAAATACCTTTCAACTAAAGTTTCCATGCATAAGTTTGTCACTACATAGTATGGCATGTCAAATGAACATATCCAGCTGGCATGTTTTCATTTTTACCTGTGACAAATATTGACAACATCCCTCAGTTTAACAACTTCTTCTTCAATTTTACCAGCCATATATAATGCTGTAGTACCAACTAACTATAATAAGGATGTATTAATGATAAGAAAAATAAAGATGAAATATTATAGATCTCTCAGGATGATAATTGCACCAAATATTCTTACACTCTTGTACATGACATAAAGTTGCAATTACAATTGACCTTGAATATTATTTGTGATGTCATAACCACATACATAGGAAGGAATATAACAAAAAAAAAAGCCATATCTTTCCTGATTCATATGCAAAAGGTAATGATTATTTAGATTCTGCACAACAACTTACTAGAAATTTAATTCTATACTTACATAAGGGTCAAAGTCAGTGATTTTATTTTCTCTAAAGAATTTATGATAAATTACTGCAGCTGTTGCTATTGGTAGGCTTGTCAAACGTAATTTTAAACCTTGTATGAATGAAAAGGAATAAAAATTAATTCTATCTAAAATTTCTTTTTTCTTCAGAAGTAAGAACATGAAACGCAATTAGAATGTATTTCTGTCAACATGAATACACACATTGAAGAACCACTGGCACATTGAACAGGCTGTACTGAGTACTGTTGGTCTATACATAGTATGGTATATATTATGTATCTAAATAAAAAAAAAATGGCTAATACAGAACAAAACCAATGTGGTCTGTAGTAAAATTGCAGGTTCAATTTAATGGGGGAAGGGAGATAACTCTATCACTATATTCTTTCGAACTCAGTTTCCTGCTAAACTCGATAAAATCAGTTACATTTTCGTACTAACCTGCCTCTTGTATGAACCTAATGACCCTGAAATGTACTTTAACAGCATTTGTATCCATTTTGAATGTCAAAGACAAATAGAAGTTCTAATTTCTGTCTTGTAGCTCTTTTACTGGTATCACCACAGTCAAGAGAAGATAACTCCGAAATGTTTACATTGGCCTCGATCAACAAGACTCTCAATTAGTTTTACACCAAGTAAACTGATCTTGTTTTTTTTTCCAAAATGTATTAAAATTAAGCTAGGCAGTTATCGTCTCGAATTCATCACATTCAGATCTGTGTTTAACAATATTATCTTTCAATTGATCCATCTTTTAGTACCTGACGACCAGTTGATTGGTTATTTTTCTATTTGAAATGAAATGTGGGGGGGGGGAGTCATCATTATTTAGAATATTGTTTCCTACAGTTCCCATGCATAGGCCTATATGCCATGATGTGATCCAATGTTAGTTGAAAATGCTGATTAATCAGCAATAAATATTTAACCATTACTACAGCAGGCTTACTTTATTGCCACTTGAAGTTGAATCATGTCAACTTTAAACGATCTATAGAAGAAAAAGAAAGATCATCTCATCAACGATAGGCTATGATTGATTTTCATTTTATTCTTTCTTAAATTTTTCAGCAGCATTTGGTAGATGTCAAGAGAGATTCCAAACGGATAAAATGGCATCAGGTCAAGTTCCTGATTCATGTTCACCAACAGTAAATACAATTTATACCATTCAATTGCATTGATCATGTTTTATTTACTAGTATTTTCATGATTTGTTATTATCTCTTAATTGATTGATTTATCTTAGAGCTGTTTAAGTACATGTACTGGTGAAATATTGCCTCTTAGCTTATTATGAATTTTTTCACTTCAATTTTTCATTGATTGTTCAACTATCATAATCCTTACAACATTAATAAAATTTTATCAAGTATGAATGATGAATATATAAAAACCAAACAAATTACAGCTCATTAAATTATTTAATTGATTATGATTTGGTAATCAACAGGAGGATGTTGATGAGAGACAAAATGAAGAAGATATTGTAGCACTAGATAGTGATGAGGAATTGGAAGCTCTCATGGGAATGGTTAAAATTGTAATTGTTCTATTATTTTACTCAAAAAATCAAATTAACCAAAGATATATTTTTACTTTCTGAAAAAATACATTTTAATGCCAAAGATTCTAGAAATGCCCTGTATTATTTATCAGCTTGTGCAATGCCTTTTAGAGGAATTGCGAAGAGGGTTTTATAAAATTGTTATGCATTTAAGGCAAATGTATAGTATGTGGCCATGTACAATTATGAGCAACTTTTTGTGACATAAAACATTACGTTTAAGTGGAATTGCAAGAATTGCAGACGCCTGGATTAGAATCAGTGTCTCAGGGACACAAAATCCCTTTCATTCCTGAAACAGTGTATTTTGACTGTGTGTGATCTGTTGTGTAACTGCTAAATACTGTATATTAAAAATTATTTTTTAAGGAAGATGAACCTATGAAGATAAATAGAGTAACAGGGCAAGTTATAGAGATATTTGATTTGTGTATAGATTAAATTAAAACCACTGACAATTACAATTCATTTACCTATTCAGCAAATAAACAGTCATATGGTTTCTGCTTCTTAAATGAGATCTGCCAGTCAAATTTAGCATGAGTTTAAAAATTCTCAGTTCAAATTTATACATTTGCCTTATCCCTTCTTCTCATTGGCTCATAAATCTTTTAATCACATTAGTATTTGCTCCTGTACTGGTAGGCATTATAATATTTTCTTGCTTCTTGCAAAAATTTCAGTTTATAGGATGATTATATAGGCGTAAATGCTTTTTTCTCCATTCAGTTTTAAATTCGGTCGTTTATTGTTATTATAGAACTGGGTTTTTATATGATGAATTAATGTTACAACATCAATGTGAATTTGATGAGAAATATCCAGAATGTCCAGATAGAATTCGACTACCGTATGAACGTTGTAAAGAACTAGGTTTGATAGATAGATGTGTTAAAATCCCTGTAAGTTTTTCAGTGAAATATAGAATCATTGTCTTACTTCAATTTAACATGTTTATTTTATTTATATCTCATTATGAGTGTCTAGTGAAAAGTAACATTTGCATATTATACATGTAAAGGTGGAATTGGGCCTTGTCTTCTGTTTTTGATTAGGGTTGGACTCCTCATTTCAACATAGTGCAACCATAATTTGTTCTTAGACAACTCTTGATGTAGTTTGGTCCGAATTCATCAGAACGCAATTTAGAGAAGAATTTTGTGAGATCATGGATGGCAATTGTGGTAACCTGCAGAAAAAACAAGAAACAAAACATCCAAATCTGCATTTTAAACAGATTATCCCACTGCCCTTTACCTTACCAATTGATTAAAGCTGATTAACTCAAGTTTAATCATGATGATACTGATATTGATGTATTTCAGACTCGTTATGCAACAGAAGATCAGTTATTACTACAACATACACAAGATCTACTACATACTGCACAAGCTACTACATCATATAGTTTAGATGAACAGAAACAGTTCTCAGCTGCTAATGATTCTGTTTATGTTAATAAGGTACATTACTTTCATTTCTATCATGGCTGTGCTGATACAGTTGGACTAGTTAGAGCCTCAGTCATGCAATACAGCAGCTTAAAAAAAATAAATCAGTGCATACTTACATTTAAAGGGTAATCAAATTTGTCCAATAAGGTTTGGTATCATAACTATACAACAGAATACCTGTTTGGTACTGTAATAGCCAATATTTAGGTCAAGGTGTGTTGTATTTCAGAAAACATATGAGTGTGCTCTAGCAGCTTGTGGTTGTACCATTGAAGGTGTAGAACAGATTATTAAAGAGAAAATCAGGAACTGTTTTGTAATGGTCAGGTAAGTGATATGGTATGAAATTGGTGAGATAATCTAAAGGAATTTTGAAAATTATTGGTTGGATTTTATATTAGTGCCTTTAAGAAAATAATATACATTTTGAATACAGATTAATGCTGCAAGCATAGGTAAAAAAACATAATTGACCCAATGACATGATATGATTTCTATGCTTATGTTAAATTAATCTTACTACCTTACACCTACTTATATATTTTGTAGGCCACCAGGACATCATGCTATGGAAGATGAATTTTGTGGATATTGTATGTTTAATAATGTTGCCATAGCAACTAAATATGCATTAGAAGAATTCCAGCTGCAAAGGTATTGTTTAACTTATGAACATCAGAAAGACTTGTAGTTCCAGAAATCATTGATACAGTTTGACATGACTTCTCAACAGTAAAGTACAGCTTGCAAACATTCTCTTTTTAACTATACATGTTTCACAACAAAATAATCCACTACTTATATCATATTAAAGTCAAAGACCTTGGTTATTGTTTTTCAGAATTCTAATAGTAGATTGGGATGTACATCACGGTCAAGGTACACAGAGAATGTTTTATGATGATCCCAGGTTTGTGTGTGGTTTCTTCTTCTCTTAATTGTGGTTAAACAATTTTAACCCAGAGGAAATGTTCCGAACTGCCTTGAAACTTTTTAGATTACAAAACAAAAGCTATTTTTGAAGATTATGTTCTATAAAATATATATACAGGGAATTCAATCTAAATAATTGTGGAGATACATATCTTGTGAAGCACGGCTGTAGCTAATTAACTGTAGTACAGTTGGAGAAAAATAATGTATTTGGAGTTTTCAATGTGCTGAGTGATTGAAAATAAAAAACTTGACAACTTGATATAAAAGATGAGTTAGGCTTGACCATGGCCTAATACAGAGTTTGATAGAATATTTTGTATTTGTAGAGTTTTATATTTTTCAATACATCGATATGAACATGGTGAATTCTGGCCCAATCTACGTGAATCTGATTATGACTATATAGGTACTGGTAAAGGAAAGGGTTATAATATTAATGTGCCTTTAAATAAGGTAATAAAACAATTTACACTTTTAAGAGAGATAGAAACAACCATTTGTTACTAGAATTAAAACTTAGGTTCACAGGATCGTTTCTACCTGCAGGTCCTTTTCCAAACCTCTTGGCATTGATCTTTCCTGGATTATCCATACCCATTAACAGCTAGGTGAACTGGAATAATGAGGAAAGATGACTTATTCAAGGTCACCAGACTTTCACACGTGAACTGTGATTAGAACCCGAGTCAACCATTTGTTCCACATAACCAAGCAAATGACATCATGTAAAATTTGTCAAACCAATGTGCTACAGAACCACTCAAAGGCAATATGATTTAACAAGTTATAGAAGTAATTGTTTTAATAACCTAAATGTATTATTAGTAAATAGTTTGTTTACTGATGAACTATTTTGTTTACAGACTGGGATGACAGATTCAGATTATCTAGCTATTTTACAACAAATTTTATTACCAGTAGCCTATGAGGTGAGATTTCATATGTTTTACATTTTGTTTTAAAAGAATAGCAATGAAATATGTTAATAAACTACCACAGAAATATTGGGTTGGTCTTACTTCAACTTTAAACATCATCATGTAATCTACATTTACATTCTAATAAAGATTGACAAATTGAGGACTGGCTATAGTTAACATATTAGTCTCTAAAGGATTTCTGTATTATATCAAAATATTTCATTGTCTGTAGAAGGTGGTGGTCTTAAATTTCAATATCCCAAAATTAGATGTCCTAATAAGGATTGTTCACTTGTCAACAACCACTTACAAGGGCTTTTTGAAATATTGGAAGCACTTATATTGTGTGTGTTTAATTCTATCATGAATTTGTTTCTAGTTTTGCCCACAGCTAATTATAGTGTCCAGTGGTTATGATGCTGTCATAGGATGTCCTGAGGTATTTACTTCATAATTACTTTTATTAATTTGGTATTGAGATACTAATTTAGTACTTTCTATGTTTATTTAGTTTGCACCTCAACTAATAATAGTATCACATGGTCTTGATGCTGCTATTGGAGATGAGAAGGTATTTGTATTATTTCTTCTCATTGTTTAGGCATTCTAGTTAATCTTGGTTATCTTATCCTATAGTATACAGTATACTGATCTAGCTTCCATCTTAAATAGATTCGCTTTGAAAATCAAAAACTTTCTCACATGTAGAGTTTGTACAGCAGACTTATTGAATATTAATATGTTATTGGTAGCAACTGATCATCATTTAAGAAGACTTCCTATATTCACTATCGTGCTTGTGCACTATGTTCAATACACTCATTGTATGATTTTTGTATTTAATCTTTCGATAGTCTAGTTCTGCTCTTTAACCTGACTTAAGTTGAAGTTCTTCAAAAATTTACTTCACCATTAACTCCCTTACACATGTTCAGAGAATACTTTAACAATATCTTGGTCTCATCTTGTTCTCATTATAATGTAGATGGATTAAGTTGGGATAAAAGGCGTTTCCATTTTCCATTGTGACAATATGAAAATACTTTTGAGGTTTCAGAATCATGTACACAATGTCAAAATGGCTCTTAAAATATTCCAAACAATCAGGATTTAGATTTAAGATAAGTGTGGATAAAAACTTAAAAGCTGTTACTGCTGATCAATTCATTAGATATCATAGTTAATTGTAATATAGAATCTCAGAATATAAGTTTAAAGCTCAGTTTGTTCTGTTTATAATTCTAGGGTGAAATGAATGTATCTCCTGCAGCCTATGCACATTTTATACATATGTTAAACTGTTTAGCAGACGGACGGGTCTGTGTTGTTTTAGAGGTAGGTATTAAATATATTCATAGTAGTTATATGTGTGATATTGTACATGTAATCTTGGGACGAGCTATCCTTTGCAATGGTTGCCAACTATAATAAAAGATGAAATCATTGTTGACAAAAATATAAGTTGGATGCATAGAGCTACCAATAGTTGCATTGCCTGATTGAATTTTAGAAAACTTGATTATTTTCCCCAGTCACTGTGACATTCAAATGATATTTGTGGCATGATAATCAGGAATTTTTTCTGAAAGTTCAAGAACAAAAATTAGATTTTGCAAATAGATTCTATGAGTGTGATGCACATGATGCCTTTTGGAATCACTGTGATATTCTTTTTCCCATACAACCTGTCTGATATGTAACAAAGTTTCAAAGATATTCTCTTGAAAGCTGTTTCAAGTTATATTTGAAACACTGTTATTTCCCTTGGTATAATAATACTAGTTATGCTTCTTTTATAACTGCTTCTTAAATCATAATTACAATTATTTGAAGAATATGCTTATGATTATTAAGGTCTGATTTCTTGTTGCTAAGACAAAAGTTGTCTCTTGTGGTATAAAATTATGTCTCTATTTATAGGGTGGTTATTGTTTGAAATCATTAGCTGAAGGCTGTGCCTTGTCTTTACGTGCCTTATTAGGTGATCCATGTCCTTTTCTACCTTCAACTCATGAACCTTGTGATAGGTAGGTTCCTTTAATATATTTTCTTTGATCTAACCTATTCTTCATATAATACTTTGTTTACTTTTCAGGTCAGGGATACCAGGTCATTTGTTATTGTAGCAATAGCCTATATAGTATATATGTACAGTATATGCCTCATTTATGATTTTAAGAGAACTGAACCAAGCACTGAGTCTTTGTATGTAGATCCACTCATCACACAAATGAAGAGTGGCATCAGGTGATCCTTAAGCTGAAAACATAACCTGACTTTATGAAAATGTCTGTATTTTCAGTGTGGTAGAATCTATTTTAAATGTGATAAAAGTATTAAAACCATATTGGACATGTTTTATTGGTCAGGGTGATTTAGAAGAGGTAGAAGTTTGTGAATATGATGGTACTAATTCTCTACCTCCAAAGTAAGAATTGCTAATGAATTATCTAATATCCAAAAAGAACATTTCATTAACCATAGAATTATTTTAACATTATTATATACAGCTGTGATTCAAAGCAAGACCTCCTTGATCCAATTGTCTTAAAGTGCTATAGAAATAGAACTCTGAACAATACTCAGACCACAACTAATTGCATTAATCTGAAAATCATCCATCTTGGAATCATGGAAATACTCTAGGAAACATTTGTATGCAAATAATCATTTTTCTCCAAACATTTTGCAGAGCAGGAGTAGAATTTTCTACAGAAGAAAATCGGCCTAAAGAATTTGAAATTATGGGAAACTATCCTACTCAGTCTGCTGAGGTTATATCTACATACGAACAGAAGATAGCTGATTTGATAGCAGAAGTCAAGTTAAACATGGCTCCTCACAGGTATGCTTAGAAAATACTATGCATGCTGAGATTGTCATGCTGATTGAAAGATGTCCATGTAGATTAGAAAAACAAATATCAAGACAAGACAAAAACTCATGAAAATGATTCAATGTAATACAAGACTTTACTGTTTTTTCTGTTTCCAAGAACAGAATGTTCATCACTGCATAAATTCTTTGTCAAAATCTGTGACTAATTCATTCCAGTAATTCTTTCTGAAACTTAATATCAGTCAACATTGTTTGACATTTATTTAAAGTCAGAGGAGATCAAACTCATGTTCACACAAATATCCTGATTTTTTTTTCTTCAGAACTTGTCTTGTATTTGATGCTGATATGAGATCACATAAAAATATCTTTATGAAGTAAGTATTGTTTCACTGTTTTGGCTTTTGATGATCAAATTGGGTCTAATTTGTAATTTTATCTAGTTGTGTACACTATATTCAAGAATCATAATAGTCAAATGTCATTTTTTGCTGATCTTCTACCAGATTCCATGGTTTTCTAACATGGCCAAATGATCTCAACCAGAAAATTCAACAGGATGAAAATAACGTAATCTTGATTTTTTGTAACAGATGTGTACTATTAACTTTATTCCATTTATTTCAGGAGCCATCCAGAAAGACCAGATCGTATTTCTAGTATTTATAATTTCCATGTTGAAACCAAACTACTACAAAGATGTTTACGTGTACAGGTACCTGATTTAACTAAATAATATCAAAAGTTATCATTATAATGTTAATCAATCAAAAACACTGTTAAAACAGACAATACAATATGACAATATGTCAATTTTTAACAATGAATGACCCAGAATTCTTCACATATTGCCCTTTACTGACGAGAGCAAATAATTGGTCAAATATTAAATAACCCAGAACAAGAGATGCAAAATAACTTTGTCAGATCATTGATGGAAAGTGGAGTCACCTGCAGAAAAAAACCTGAAAGGAATCAACCAGATTTACTTTTTAGATAGATTGGGTAAATACCTGTTAGAAAATTTAAATGATATTTTGATATCTATTTTAGTCTCGAGAAGCTACATTGGATGAATTGGCTACAATACATAGGTGAGCCACATTAATAATATGCCTAGATTTTTTATATAAACCCTAAGCCTGATCATCACCAAACCTTGATGTATTTTACAAATCTCTTGGCAATGATCCGCAATACCTAATATATGAGTTTTGTTAGAATACAGAGAGTATTGATAGTTGTATGTTTTGTGTAATTTCAGTATAGATTACATCAATGATCTCAAATTAACCAGAGAAATGTCTGATTTTGAGTTACGTAACCTTCAAACCAAGTTTAATTCTATCTATCTCTGTAAGGTAGGGAAATGTTTATGTTGTATCTTGCATATTTGTGGTAATTTAAAGAAGTTGCTCAAGAAGGGAATATCCAATGATTGTAGAATATATATCTGTACAAGCAAGACAATTCCGTTAATCAAAATCTCGTCCAAAGTATGGCAAAATCAAGAATAAAAGAAATATGGTAGTGGAATTCTCCAAAGAGAAGTACCGTACCATCAGGTGTTTCTAAAAGAGTAAGCATGGTGTGCTTTCCACACGACACTTGCCACTACAATATAGGTCAATATCCAGCAATGTTTTGATGGACTCAGTAATGGTATAGCTTTGTATAAATACTCAAATTTATGTTAATTTTGGCAACATGGTGGGTTGGATCAACTCTAATAAAACGTGATGATATCTGTTTATCACGTCAGAGGAATGGATGGGGCTAGATTTGTCAGGTTTGATGGAATATTCCAGAAAATTGTTTACATAATTTTTCATTGGAAAAGGACCTGTAATTTAAAATTAATCCTCATACACAATTTATATTTTAAAAGGTCAAAATAATTTAACAACCCATATTTTCATCTTTATACATAATGTAGTTGTATAAAAGAAAAAAAACAGCACAAAAACACATATAACAGTAAACAATGCTGTCTAAGGATGTAATTATCAACTATGATAGTTATATTATCATCAAGATTGTTATATTCTTTTTGAATGACATCTTTTTTATCTATAGATCAATTCTTTGCATTTAGAATGTAAAAAGAAATGGCATTTATATTTAGATTAATTTGGTGTGTAAATTTAGCTACAGGATATCATATATAATACCATTAAAATATTCAGGTGTTGATTATATCTGTACTTTACTTAAAATAGTTTACATTCCTTCATTTCCTTCCAGGAAGAGAATGAAGGAATGTAAGGAATATAAACTATTTTAAGTTTTAATTTTTAATTATTCAAATTTGTTCTTGTAGAAAGCTGTTGAAAATCTGAATCGATCAACTTTTTTAAAAAATATAATTGAATATATTATGATCAGATTATGTCCAAAAGTCATGATTAAAGACCATTTTGTCTCTGCATGACTCTGACAAACTAAATCAAATGAACATCCCTGGTTTTGTTAGTGAATACATTGCTTTCACATATAATTTGCATCAACATACAGAAGTTTTTTTTTTATATGTGAAAATATAAATTGTCCAGCAAGAGACTCATCTTTGCATTTGTAAAGTCTATCATCATTACTATCATGATCAATCATCATCATCCAGTCATCAATCAATCATCAATCATCATCATCCAGTCATCAATCATATTAATCATCTAGTCATCAATCCACCCTTATCATTATCATCATCACTGTAATCATCATCATCATCATCATCACTGTAATTATTATTATTACTGTAATTAATATTATCACTGTTTGTATTTTGTAGAAGTCATATGAATGTGCTTTGTTATCAGCTGGTAGTGTTTTAAATGTTGTTAATACAGTTTTATCAGGGAAGGTAAGTATATTCTACTGTACAGTGTAATTAACTACCAGAACTAGAGTTTATATCAGAGTGGAATTTCTATTGTCAGACATCTTGTTGTTATACTTATTTGCTTTGTGAAAGTATCACAAACAGTTATTTTACTTAGAAAATGAAATATCTCATCCAACTTATCTGTATACAGAAGTGGTAGAAAATAAATTATCCGCTAGCACTGTTTGGAAAAAGTATTATTTTCATTTTAAGAACTTAGATTGATTTAAGCCTGTTTCCATTTCAGTCACAAAATGGTGTAGCAATTGTCAGGTGAGAATCTAGCCAATTTTATTGGAATATCTTGACTTTCTTTTTTTGAAGTTGTTTTTCAAGTGAAGACAAATTTAACTTGGTTTAATACATGTAATTTTTTAATAAACATTATAGATGTTTTTTTTATGAGAAATTGTAGACATGTTTTTTTTTAATCATTTCAAACAAACCAAATTGTCTAGTCATAAATTTATTTCCAATGAAAGTTTGAATAAAGAATATCTGAATATTTTTAAAAGTGTAGGTAAATGCTAATAGATGGAATTGATTGTTTATTGCAGACCTCCAGGACACCATGCAGAAGTTGATAGATGTATGGGATTTTGTTATTTTAATAATGTTGCAGTAGCAGCTGAATATGCCAAACAACAATTTGGTTTAAAAAGGTATAACTTTTATTATATCAGGCATATAATAAATATAACTCTAGTAATAAATAGATTTTTTAAAACATTGGCAATGCATTCACATCTTGATATACTTCCTCCAAAACTTCATTAGCTTTTGTTTGCAGTAAGGATCTTTAGTACTTGTGGTTTTTTTCCTCATATCATATTTTTATACGCCCACAGGTAAGTATGGGCCTATATTGTGGTTGCCCCTTTTGGTCGGTCGAACCGCTGGCGTCGATCCGTTGGTCTGTCCGTTCACATTTACCTCGTGCTCACTCTACAGGCTACAATTCTCTATAGATTCTTTTGATCTTTTGTATGTGTGTACTATTGAATTTGGTGATGATCCAATGATTTTCTTGAGAGATATCGCATAAAACTCTGATATCGCATTTGTTTGTTTTTTTCACTTTTTTGGCTCATGCTCACTCTACAGCCTACAATTCTCCATACATTCTTTGATCTTTTGTATGTGTGTCAATATCATTATGAAGATGTGCACTATTGAATTTGGTGAGGATCCAATGATTTTCTTGAGAGATATCGCATAAAACTCTGATATCACGTTTTTTTTGTCACTTTTTTGGCTTGTGCTCACTCTACAGGCCACGATATAGAGTTTGTTTTACTGTTCACATTTAGCTCTTTATCAAGCTGCTGGTGGGCGTATTCGCTTGCGAGACTTGCAGCAAGCCTATGTTTGAAATTTATGATATGCCATTTTTTAAAGTTAATGTTTAAGTCTGTTCATTAAAACTTCTTACCTGTGGACATCCTGTTACCAATAGTGACTTTCAATATATATTTTTAGTGTTTTTAGTATTTTCTATATATTATAGAGTATTAATAGTAGATTGGGATGTTCACCATGGAAATGGTACACAACATCAGTTTTATGATGATCCTAGGTAAATAATTGTTCTTACTTGTGTACTCCCTGCATTATACTATTAATAGATGTAATAAACATTTAAGAATTAAGAATTCACATGCTGTATGTTTATAGAAATCAATTACATCAAATCTTATCAATATGCTGGGTGATCACTTTTCATTTTCCTTTTGAAAATTATTTTATGGCCAAATATTACATAATATTTACATTTCTACTATCACTCCCTTCAATAAACCAGTTAGCCAAATCGGAGTTTATTCACCAATAACTGTAGTTTGTCACGTGACAATAAGGCGTATAAATTCATCGAAAACAAAAACAAGGATTGACCCAAGTTTTTTACCTAGAGTTGGAAAGCGATTTTGAAAGGGTTGTGGCGTATTTTATCAAAAAAGATAAACCGATGTAAATATAAGAAATGAATGTGGATCTTGTTATCGTTATGGGGAAATAAACGCTGGTTTAGCGAAGCGGGTCATATACGTCTTGTCACATGATAAACCAGCGTTTATTTCCCCATAACCATAACAAGATACACATTCATTCCTTAAGAAATGCGAAAAATAGACTACAAAAATTATCTATTTTGTTGTTTTTTTGTAGTGTTTTATTCATATCCTTACATCGATTTGATAATGGGTTTTTCTACCCAACCAGTGCTGATGGAGATTATTTTAATGTTGGAACAGGAGATGGAGAAGGTTTTAATATTAATATACCATGGAATCATGTAAGATTAGTGAGATATTATGATAGAAAGTTATTGTTTCCTTTTAAACAGTTGGCTCAGATTAAGATCTGAAATGTTTAAACATCACATGAGTCCAGCTTTGGTATTCCTGTCATACATCAGTTGTAAGATTCTATTTACGTTTGGCAATATTCTGATTGAAGTTATTGTTTAGAATGGCTAAGTTTATTTTAATATTTATGTTATTTATTTTGAATTTATAGAACAGAATGGGTGACAGTGAATATATTGCTGCTTTTCACCATATTATAATGCCAATAGCTCTAGAGGTAAGATAATTATGTATTAACCAATCAAATTAAAATGAGCCATTAGGAGTACAGCATCAATTGTAAAGATATCAGGCAATATGATTGTGGACCATGTCATATTATAGTGGAAATGTAATGAGTTGTAATGAATGGAGTTTTACACCCTATTTTTTTAAACTGATGAGACTAATGGAGACTGGCAACATCATGCAGTGTGCTATGAAGGAAATTAGCTTAATATTTTTAGATTGTATTCACTAGCGTTCAATCCAATCAGATCGCTGCATTTACCATATCAATATCAAAATATTTATTATTGTAGTTTGCTCCAGAACTAGTGTTAGTGTCAGCAGGTTTTGACAGTGCTCATGGTGATCCTCTGGTAGGTACCCAAGTTAGATCCTCTGTTGTTCAGAGAGAGTTGTCAATTTGGTAATATGTGTAACAAAACAAAAGAATGTTGATTGGCTGTCTAAGGCTCCTTTTATTCAAAATTATATATGTGACGTAAACATTGTTGACAATCTTAAAAAATTTATGTCTTGATATATTCACATAGTAAGTGTGACTGTCTCCACCATTTTGTAATATAATGATTGAAATAGTTGGGATAGTTTGGTTTATTGGGCTGTATTTTTATAGAAATATGCAATGCATGATCATATGAAATTGACTGTTTAAGACGAAGTTTTTTTTTTATCTTTTGTCAGGGAGGATATAACGTCATGCCTGCTGGATATGGTCACATGACTCACATGTTAAGTCAATTAGCCAATGGGAAGGTGGTTGTTATCTTAGAGGTAAGATCATACACTAACATATGATTCAATGTTGCTTTCTTCTCAAAACTTGAAAAAAACTAATAATGCCATTAGAATATTTTTATTGTTTTGAGTTGAATAATTCCTGAAACACAGACACTCTGATATTATATTTTTGTATTAGAAACACATCTTTTATGAACATTCTCTATTTTTAATGATCATGTTATCCTCACCTTTTTAGTAATTTTTTTTTATATTATTTAGGGTGGTTATAATTTGAATTCAATATCTGTATCTATGGCAACATGTACCTCTGTCTTATTGGGAGATCCCTGTCCAAATATTGGACCACCTGAACCATGTAATAGGTGAGTGAATACTTTCTTGAACTTGGTTTGATGTAAAGCCTTTTTTTTTATTCCAGATCCCAAATACATTTTATATACCCACCACTCTCAATATCCATTGATTTGATAGAGGCTTGTAGACACTCTAGACTCCTCAATATTCAGCTAATAAATTTGCATTGTCTGCTACTCTGAAAACCTGCATTTTCTTACATTTTCATCCAAATTTCACAAGAAGGTAAAAACTGTTCTTCAAATGGATACTACTTTTCAGAATGGACAAAAATTTAAAATCTCAAACTTGGTTAATATATGTGTATATATTCATCAGTTAGACTTACAAGGTGTCATGACTCATGAATAAAATCTCTATGTAAGACCATATATCCATTAAACCAAACAAATTATTGCATGTTTCAAAATTACTAAGTTTAATGAATTATTACTTAGTTTTATAGATTTATTAGATTATAGAGAGATTTTGTCGTAAAGTTATAACAGTAGAACAATGACTCATATTAACCAAGTTGGAAATTTTCCTTTTTTTTTTGGTCAGTCTAAGAGGTAGTATACCTTTAAGATATTTCAGTCCGATTCTCCCTTACTGTCAATGGTTCTGATGGAATATTAGAGCACGCTTCATCAGGACTTATTATAAACATGTGGAAATCCAGAATAATAATGAAATGACGTTTTCTGCATTGCTTATACTTATACAATATGTATATCAATATCTTTATCTTTATTTTATTATGTAGGTGATATATACTTACTTTTATACTTACTTTTATACGAGCTTGTCTAATTAAAGTAGGACTTGTCAATCAATAGTTAAAATAAACAACCTATATTGTATTTGATTGTTTTATACATTGTTAAAATGGTGTGATGTTTGTCTATGATAGGTAAAACATGATTTCTCAAGACCTATCATTGATTATTGGAAACAGTCATCATTTGTTCATATTTTGTTAGAATCTGTTAAATGTTTTCAGTAAAAATATGCTATTCTCATAATTAGTAATTATTCATCCATGATGGTAATTGTTATATTTACTGAAGATTTTAGTCCTGATTTGATGAATATTGGTACAAAATATTGTTATTCAACCATTTTTCAAAAGTTTGAAGATGTTTTTATGCCAAGATTAAATTACATAAAATCTATTTGGGATGGTAACTTTAAAGTTAACTAAAGGTGAATTTTGCTCAGGAGTTATGAGGAACTGTAATCTTAAGATAATCAGTTTATTGTTTAGAGTTTTTATGCCAAGACTGATATATATAAATCTGAGATGATGATGTTAATGGTAATTAATGGTGAATTTTGTTCAGGCATTATGAAGAGTAGTGGTTCTAAAATGTTGTGTTCAATTTGATTTTTATAGTTTTTATGCTGAAACTAGGGTACATAAAATCTATCTGAAATGGTAACTTAAAGTTTTGTGAGGATGAATTTTACCCAGGTGATATAAAGAATAGTGGTTCTGAAATGTTGAGTTCTGTTCAATTTGAGGATGAATTTTACAGATGTTTTATGTCAAGATTAAAGTACTTGAAGTCTATTAGGGATGGTTACTTTAAAGTTAAATGAGGGTGAATTTGCTCAGTTGTACTGAGTGATCCTGAAAATTGATCTTATTGTTTAGAGTTTTCATGCTAAGATTTTGGGGAGTTGATTTGAATGTTGAATATATGCAAATAGACTTCAGAAGTACTAGAAATGTACTTAAATCATATAATTCCTTTAAAAATACTGCAAACTATGAATCTTACTCATTATTTCTATATATGTATTTTCTATATATCACAGAATATCTTAAAATGATGAGTCGTCATTTTAACTTTCAACGCGAATAATTCTGGACGCTGATGGATTTGAAGGCTCAAATTTCAATAGTGAGCTGTGAACACTATTACTGATTGACTTAGCTTTAAAAAATCACGTTTCTGAAACTAAAGTATGATTAGTAAAAAAAATGGTGCATCTGTCTCTTTAAGGTACATAAAATCTAACTGAGATGGTTACGTTAAAATTAACTAAGGGTGAATTTTGTTCAGATGTAATGGAGAGTAATGATAATGAAGAATAGTGATAACAAAATATTGAGTGCTGTTCAAGTTTTTTTTTTAGTTTCGTTGATTTTGTTTAACTTTGCTTTAAAGTTAAATGTGTTCATCTTTCACAGTTTTATATGAATACACTTAGATCTGATATTAAAGTTAGTAATAGATTAGACATGAGTTCACATCACTAGCAGGTCATATAAATGTAAACCATTGAAGACTCAGCTTTGATCATGGAAACACTGTTTTATTTTAGCAGATACACAAAGTTTATTATAAGTAATAATGTTATAAGATAAATAAGCTTTTGGATCTTAGTGATAAATTTTTGTTGTCCTTTTTAGCCAATTAGAATTTTTCAAAGACCTGTGGAACCTAAATTTAATTTCCCCATGAGAATTTCTTAAACACCCATGAATAGTTACTTTAATAATCAAACCTTGTTTCAATGAAGAACAGATGATTTCAGATGTATGCTCATCCCAAGAAATATCTATTGTATAAACAAAGTAAAAAGTTTTTTAAAATTTTTCAATTAAATGCTTCACAGCAAAAAAATCAATGATGTAAGATTACCGATGCACAACTCTTGTCGGATATGACGTTCATGTAAGGGAATCCATTTTCTCAATTTTTGTTGTTTTGGTCTCCAAAAGTGAATAAGAATTGTGGATGTATGTATATTTTTAGCAACGCAATCATCAAGGGATTATCAGATTATCGGGTTGGTAATCAAGTTATTGTAATACCAAGCAGTGATTGATGGCTTTATATTTCATAAGAGAGTTGTCATTAAATTTTGCATTTGACAACCATTCAAAGCCATGTAATGGATAACCTATACTTGATGTCTGATAGAGAATATTGAGTGAGGGTCATTTGAGCAGCCCCGTTGGTCATGTTCAGCATATAGAGCCAATTCAACAGCGCTGTCACAATGGTATTTTAAATCTAAAGTGAAAACTTGGTTGTTTGGTTACAATCATTAACTCACCAATTGAGATCACCGGAGTGTGCCTTGAGATTTAATTGCTGGGCAATATAAATATCGTCATTATTATTATTATCATTTCTGTAGCATCAGTAAGCTTACATCATTGATTTTTTGGCTGTGAAGAATTTAATTAATTTTACTTTGTTTATATAATGATATCTAAGTATCTAATCTGTCTAACTAACTAACCTGTTTGGTGTCTATTTTTATTGTATTTACCATTTGTGTCTGGTCGGAGCTTTATGACCAGTATGTTGATGTCTTTGATAGGTATATATAGACAAGTACTTTATTTCAAATGTTTTTTGTTTTATAATGAGACCAGAAGTTTCTTGTGTTGTGTAAGCATGTATATACATCTGAAGGCATTCATTCTCTAGAAAAAAAATCTATTGATTATCAAAATAACGTTTTCATGCTGATATGATTTGGGGACACATTTAAAAACAGGTGGAAAAGCACTGATCTTTAGGAAATATAATTTGAGAATACATAAATAGATGTGAACTGCTACCATCATATAGAATTATACTTTATAGAACTACTATAGTAGAATAATGGACAGTTTCATTAGTAACAGGATCATGAAAACCTTGACCTCATGTCAGGAAATAAGATTAATTCCCTGGTGTGGACACAACAAGAATTGCATTTTAACCCACATGACCTGGGTAATAAACCGACAAATTAACTCATGTTCTCATTTAACATTGCTAGTGTTTATTTATATAAATTAATGTTGTACTACAAGGCTACTACAAGCTTGCTGTCCACTTATTATTGCTGGGACTCAAGTATTGTTGGACATTATCTGTCAAAATTAATATTTCTACAGTGTTAAAAACATGGATATACTCTAGAAAAATTTATTAAAATAAGATGTTGTTATTCACCATTGGGCTCAAATGGCAAATGTCTCATAATCTTGCCATGATTTTTATACGCCCACATTATAATGTGGACGTATATTGTTGTCACCCATGTCCGTCCATCTGACCACACATGTGTGGCTTGTGAACGCGATAGAGACTACAGTTTTCATCTGATTCGAACGAAATTTGGTGTGATCATTTATATTGATGAGATGTTGGATAACTTTCATATTTACGATTTTTCGATGAACGGTTTTTGAGATATTGCCCTTGATTTAGCAAAAACGCGTCAAAATTGGCTTGTGAACGCAATAGAGACTACAGGTTTCATCTGATTTGAATGAAATTTGGTGTGTCCATTTATATTTATGAGATCTTGGAAAAGTTCGATATTCAGGATTTTTCAATGAACAGTTTTTGAGTTATTGCTCTTGATTTATCAAAAAATGTGTCAAAATTTGTTTGTGAACACAATAGAGAATACAGATTTCATCGGATTTAAATGAAATTTGGTATGATCATTTATAATGATGAGATCTTAGTCAAGATTGAATTTGGCAATTTTTGGATCAACAGAATTTGAGTTATTGCCCATAACTTAGTATAAACTCATCAAAATTTGTTGGCGTTAGAGGTTAAATTTATTTATTAAATAATGTGTCTTTGTTTAAATCAACAATATCTTGCACAAATTAGATTTTTGGTATGATTTGACCCATATAAGAGACTGCCCTTGATATACTGAAAATGTATCAAGAAAGTGGGCGTATCTTGCTAGAACATCAGAAGTCTGACAGAAAATTAGTTTGATGCAAATATCACCTAGTACTTAAACATGAACTGGCAAATGTCATTCAAATTCAAAACATCTGCAACAATAATCTAAGAATCTAGTCTTATGGAAGTGCTCAACAGAGTAATATTCTTGGTCCATTGGTTATATATCTAAATTATCAATCATTATAAGGGTAGATAATAGATTGACTTATTGTTATGCTTGGTTTGACAGATTGCTGTCTTTATATCTCCTTCATTGAACACAGATTTAATTGAAGAATTGCCTGTGGACAGTATTTACTTGTACATGGTCAT